GCTGGTCCGTAAAGTATGAAAGTGAGCTGTCGCAGCAATCAACAAAGCGCAACCAATCCTGTCCAAATGATTCTGCATTTCCAAAGAGCCCCTTCTTTTCATCAGTGCCTCAAAAATTATTCGCCCTTTTCTTTAACACGAGCTCATTTTTCTCATTGAAATAATCCTTATATTACAAAGCGTATTTCAGACGAACAACGAATAATTATTTTAGCAAATCCTGAGTTGGCCAAAAACCGACAGTTCTATTCTTCTTTGACTTCTCACTGTTGGTACTGAGCAAAAAATAACGAAAAACATTGTCGTACGGCAAAAGAATCCTGCAGTCATGGGCTGCGCTTGAAAAAAGTTGTATCTATCTATTTCACTGAAATATCTGCCTTTTTAGTCGCCCAAAGTTTTTGATAGCCACTTAAATTTCTAAAAGGATGATTAAGCTAACCAAAGTACCAGGTAGAGTTTCTGCCAATTTTTCGCTTTGGAGCCGTAACTGAAACCACACCAGTACTTCATTTACATAAACTTAAAGTTGAATTAAACATTTACGTAAGAATGTTGGGCATTCGTCCATAATGCTAACCGCTGAAGATCGTGTTGACCGTTTAATGGGAGCAGAAGAATGAAGGTAACTGTTAAAATTATAGTCAACCTCAGTTTGTACTCCGTCTTCTAAATGATTTTCCGGCAGGGTAGAATGATATGGACTTGGCGAATCAATTACTGACACTCTTCTGCTGTAACAGCGACCTTTTGACGTTTTTGGGACCAATGGGAGCATTCTGAGACTAAGTACTATTGGGTCAAATTCATCCCAAAGAAGTAGCAGAAAACCTCTTGAGTTACAATCCCGAGTAAAACCCAATGGATAAATTTGGCAATGAAAATAAAAAATTACCTTTGTTTTACATCGTAACGTTGAAATTTCCCAGCAACACTTCTGAAGCGTCTTGAAAGCCTACCTGTCAAAGACATTTTTGGATAAAGCCCTATAGCGTTCACATCCACTGACTTTCTAACAACCATTGGAGCTTCTTGATCCTTCATGGAAATGCTAAATTTAGTCCATTCATAGTTTCTCTACACTGATATAAGCCAATGAACAGTCGGTAAAAATCAGTATAAAGTGCAACTTCCTAAATTTTTGCAGAATGCTTTTCGCAACGAACAAGTTATTCTGAGTGGCTGGCTGCATTTTAGGCGTACTTCATTCTTTAGAATGATACCATAGAAAAATTAAATGCGTAGCTATTGCAACTGGTACTCTGTTGAAAATGAAGAATAACACTTAAACTATTTTTTTTTTTTTGACGTTATACAATGGCCTCCATTCGCCTCATATCTAATCACCAATTTCTTTAAGATCCGGTGATGCCTGGTTAAACTTAACTCGACGCATACAAACTTTGAACGAATAAGTACCATACTGTGCATGCGTTGCGGAGCCGACCAGCGGGTTGACATTCTGCCCACTAATGTCCTTCGGATAAACCGCTTTTACCTCGTCTGAAGCCCAAAAAATATCCTTCTCCAGCCTCGGTACATCGTTCGAAGCATCGTCTACTATGCATAACGACGTCTAAACTCAAAATGGGATATGACTCTTAAATTTTACAATTGAATATCTAATAAAAAAAGATTCAAACTTTAGGTGGATAAGCGCTTATCGTAATGGCTTCCCGATTCGTAACTTTCAAAAAAACGTGTCAATCAATGTACATTACTTACTTTTGAAAATCCTGGCTACCTCAGGGATTAACGATTCAAGCGCACTGAGTGGCTTCCTGCCTTTTATTTGATAAAAAATGAGAATGAGAAGAATTAAGGAGGCAGCAATAAGGAAGAGGAGAGCGGCAAAGAATAAATGAAAAGATACAAAGAGAAGGTAACAGTGGGAGGACGTCTGTACCAGCAGAGAATGAGAACGAACGAGGCCCCAGTTAACAGACCATATACTTCTTTGATTTGTCCTTTTTGAAAGATGTTGCAGCACAGTGATAATACTAAACTTTTCCTTAATTCACTCCTGGATTCAAGTGCAAGCACTAGTTTAATTATGCGCATCTGAAGCTTCTCAATCTTATCAGCATTTTAGAAATGAATTCTTTTTACAAAGTTTTCATTCTTGAGGAAATGACAAAAGGGCCAGCAAATGTCTTATGGAGTGAGATTTTCAAATATGAAACTCTTCAGCACCGCGTTTACAGTGGCGTTCGCTTAATGCACGATTGGCCACAGAAAAATCCAATCTTCGAAAAACCTCTTGATTGAAAGTTGCTATCGACATTCTTTTCATAGTCAGAAAAAAAGACAACAAA